AGGGTCCCAGGTCCCTGGATGGCAAGTATTAGCAGTGTAATGTGGTCGTTTGAAGGAAATTCCACAACACCAGACATGCCAGTGATTTTCATGCAGTTCCTTTTTTCCCGTTACTGCAGGCTCCCTGTACAAGCTTAGAGTTACCTCTTTGGCCAGGAGTATTCAAGGAGCCTAGTGCATTCTAGTCTGCAGACCATGTACACACACATACATAGAATGGACTGTTTTAGCCTAGTCTGTACTCCTGCATCCTTATTCTCCATCTGTCTTTTGTGCTTGGATCAGATTAATTTTCCTAAAACATTTTTACAGTATTTCCTTGCTTTGAAAACTCATTGACTCCCTAGAGCTTGAGGGGAAACTGGAAGTCCTTGGCTGGCGTTCACACTCCAGACTTTCCACAATTTGTCCCAGGGTGACTTTCCATTCTCATCATCTATTGTCCCCCAACATGAACTCTGTGCTCCAGCCAGGCTCATCTGTTCACTGTCCCTGGAACATGTCTTGTCCTTTTCTTTCTCCTCTTCTGAATGCCCCCTCGCCCCACCATCTCTGAACCACCTCCATCCTGGCTCACTTCTCCACCGCCTTTGCTGATGGTGACACCTGCCTGTGCTCTCATTGTGGCCACTGGGTTGTTGCTCTGTAGGATTCTCAGTCTATACCTAGTCTTCCCAAATAGCTGGCACATCTTTGAGAAGAAATGAGACATTCTGAATATTTCTTTGCGCCTTTTACAACATCTAAAGCAAAGCTTTGGACATAGTTGTTATATGATAACTAATGAATGAATGAAATGTAAGTACAAAAGTAGAACTTAAGGTCAAAAATAATGACTTTTGCTTTCCCTGCTCCTCTTGGTTGCCCAGAAACCTTATGAGAATAGTATGGTTTGTCAAATGGGATGAGCTCTTGAAAGGGCGAGTTCAGCTTTTGTGGCTAGAATAAAGGAAGAAGGCCTGGGCTGGGCCATGAAAGTCAGAAAACCATCTGGCAGCAGTGGACACACGGCACCTACGGCTTGTGATCTAAACTCCGCAGTGATTTCTCTAGAAGCCCAACTTCTTTATTCAGGGGAGTTCACTTGTGTGCTCTTATTTGATAGCCAGTCAAGACTGTCAGACTAATGCAGTCAGGAGTAGACGTATTTTTAGGGATATTTATGGAGCCGTTGCTTTGAATCTTTAGACCAGTGGTTCTCGATCTTTTGAGTGTATCAGGACCTACCGAGGGCTTTGCTGAAACTCCGATTGCTGGACTGGCACTTCATGATTCAGTGGGTCTGGGGTGGGGTCCGAGGATGTCCATTTCTGCAAGTTCCCAGGTGATGCTGCTGCTGCTGCTGATTCAAGGACCGCACGCTGAGCGCCGCTGCATTAGACACAGGTAGTTTGATGGATGTTTATTTCAGCCTGGGGAAACTTCCATGTACGGGTAACATGCACTTAAAGCCTGGGAGGCATAAAGCTGTTTTTCACATTGACTAAGAGTTTTAATTTGGAACTTTTAAATGCAGTTGGGTGGTTTACAAAATACAGAATTTGGTAGTTCCACATGTCCCTGGAACAGGTGCCCTCTTGTAGTGCTTTTTAAAATGTCACTTTTTAGGAGTGCTTAAAACATGTTAAGAGTCTAAAATATTTTGTCATTTACTCTTGTAAAGCTCAAATGATTTTTATTATTTAAATACTGGTATGAAACGAAACTTTTACGTATATCTTAATTTATTCTTAAAGCACAATGTAATTTGAAAGAGGAAATAAAATATGGGTAAATGGAAAAGTGATGGTATCTTAGCTGATCACAGTCATCTGTAGCAAAAAAATCCTTGCTTTGACCTGATGTAGCATTTTATTTGAGGTTTACTCTAAAGTTTGTTGAAGCCGTTCTGTTGTTACCCTGAGAAGTAATACTGACAACATTTTGTTGCTGGATAACCTGGCCTGGTAAAAGGTCTTGCTGATGTTATGATGTAGAACTCCACAGACCTGTGTCTTAGAATGCTGGTGTCTTTGGGTTTCTGTTTAATTCTTTACCTGCTGCTGTATTTTGTGTTCTTTATCAAGAAGCTTGCTTTTTGAAGGTTAGGCCCTCGGGGTGGGTATCCAGTGTTTTTCAACTGCAGGGACAAGGGTGAGCATCTAATAAAATGCCTTCCTCGATGCCTGTGAGAGTGTATACAGATGTCCAACTAACAATGATGACTAGGTGGTAAGAATATGTCATTTGGTCCTTTTCTGATTTAAATATCCATGTAATTTTTCTTTTGCTAGATTTGTATTGTTTTTGTAATCACGTTAACAGTAAAGACATGACACTGAAAACAAAAGAATTAGATGCTGAAAACTGCCTATCTTGCCGCTAAATTGGTATTTAAAATAAGGGAAAGGACCCAGTGGGAGGCCTTAGGAGAAGAGAAGGACATGTGCTTTCGGGGAGAGTCATGGAATCAGAATTTCTCTTCTCATCAGTTGGGAAGAGGAGGAGAGAGGAAAGGAGAGAAACATAATAAGACAGTGGCCCTGGCAGTGCATCTCCAGGAGCCTGAGGTGGATGGATTTGGTGTCCTTTCCGGGAGAAGAGGCTTCGGCGCTGACTTTAAAGTGAGGCTGTGAGAACATTTTGTTGTAGATCTGTCCCCAGCCTTCCCCACATTCAGGCAGCGGACACTGAGCACCTGCTTCTCCCTGCCCACGTGTGCTCAACCCTTCTCTGTGGTTTAAAAACGAGGTAACAACATTCTGTTACTCCTTCGAGCTTCTGTTTTCCCCTCACGTTTATGCTGATGCCAGGCTGCTTGAAAAAGAAAAAAATGTTATTCATGGCTCGCTTCTGGAAATACTTAACCCCTGTGTGTTGGGCAGTGCACTTGGCACAGGACGCTTGGTGAGCCAAGAGGAGGCGTCGTGCCTGCTCTGTGGAGCGTCCCTTCCGACCAGAGAAGGCTCTTTGCCGTGTCCACCGCTGTTTCTTCCTCGCTCACTTGCTCCTTTATCTCTTACCGGCGCCTGCGTGTCCTCCCACTGTGCTCAGCCACAGGGCCCTGGAGGCCTAGTCATCTGTTGGTCTTTTCCAGAACTAACTTTGCTGAATCTCTTAACAGCATTTGACCGGGCAGCCTGCCCCTCCGCGATCCTGTCATCTTTGTCCTCTGTGACATTGCGTTCCCTCCTCCGTTCTCCAGGATGCTGGCCTTGGCACCCTTTTCTCCTTTCAGAACATACCCTTCCGTACCAACTCCCTTCTCCTCTCCCCAGATGGGCTTAGCATCTCCCGGAGGAGGTGACTCCTGCTGACCCCTGTGGCATCTCAGCTTCTCACCTCAGCCTCTCCCGTGTGAGTGCAAGTGTCAGGTTTCTCACCCTGACTCCTCCCTGGCTGCGTGGCCGGCTGGCACCACTGTGATTAAGCAGAACTGACCCCCTCATCTCCTCCACCACCACCACCCCAGGCTTCCTGCCCTTCCTCTTTGGCCTTTCCCGGATCTCAGATCAGACGCCCATCAGTCCTGTGGTTCTGTGAGCTCGTCCCCCCCGTGTCTCTGGCACAGGTCCCTGCTGTCATGTTTGCAGTCTTCTGGGTCTCTCCCAGCCTACTTCAGCGGCTCCCTGGTGGCTCTCCCTGCCTCTGGTCTCTCTTCCCTTCTCTATCTGATGAATTGCCCTCAGCTGAATCACCCTAAGGCACAGCTCTGAACCTCTGTGCCCCTTGCTTGGAAACCCTCAGTGGTTCCCACCACTCTCTGAAGAGAGTTCAGAGAGCTGGACTGAGGCTTTCCCTCCCCTCGCTCCCGCCTGCCTGTCGGGCTGGACCTCTCTTGCCCTTTTCTGGTCCAACTCTTCAACTGGACGGCCCCATCCACCGCTCCCAAACTCCGCGCCCACCTTCCTGTTTCCATCCTTTGTTCTCAGTACTCTCTTTTTCTCATCTTTACCTACTCTCCTGCTCTTCTTTTAAAGTGCAGCTCAGGTGCAGTTTTTTTCTATGACAGTCCCTGTCATTGCTTTCTAGGCTGCAAGTCATCTTTCCAGCTTTTGCGTTTCTGCAAAAGTTTATGGTATTCTTGAATGAGAGTCCTTGTGTAATTCATAATTCTATCATTCATCCTAGACTGTGGACTCCCTGTGAGTAGGTGCTGCCTGATACCTTGCAGCTCTTTCTGGTCCCTGGCCCACCTTAGAACATTGTTTAAGAAATGTCCATTGAAGGGATGAGTTAGGAGTCCATTCAATTATTTATTGAAATTAATACAGTTTAACGCCTAGACCCCAGGCTGGCAGACTTCACCCTGTGGATCGCTCTGGCCCACTGCCTTGTTTGTGAATAAAGCTTTATTGCAACACGACCACATGGCAGCGAGCACGTCCTATAGCTAATGCCGCTGAGCCCGCAGCGGTCACTAACTGACCTTTCACCAAGCTTTGTCCCCCCGGGGCTATACCACTGTCCAGACTTCTGAAGGACACAGTATCAGCTGTTGGAAGCAAGTGAAGGAAACAATGTTTGCTTAAACTCTTAGCCTCTTGCTTTGGCTTTCAGACATATCTGTGTGGCTACCGCAGTTAGGGCACTGGGATTTTTTACTACTTTATTCAAAGTGAAGTTCAGTTAATTACGTTGGAAGAATGTTTCAGACAGCCAAGTTAACTAGATTTGGTCTCTAATTTCTTGACATTAAGACAGGAATTTCTGGGCAGAAGTTAGACCTGGCCAGGATTTATGTAATTAAAATGACCCCTATCAAAAATGTTTTTGGTATTCTTAGTAAAAATAATCATCAAGAATTGGTCAGCTGTGCAGCCAGAGTCACGCCAGCCTTAGAAACCCTCTTGTACTTCGGCTGCAGGAGAAGCAGCATGCTCAGGTGCCTTGCTCTGCAGCCCTGTGGATCTGGAGGAGGAAGCCTGCACGTTGCCAAGGTTTAGAGGTGAAGTCTTGTGGCCCCCACATTAACACCATGCTGTTTTTTTCTTTTTCTTTTTTTTTTTCTTCCTTTCTAGAGGGACGTATGGTCATCCAGGACATTCCTGCTGTCACCAGCAGAGGGCACGTGGAGAACACACCTGACCTCGTGTCTGACTCCACCTACTACAGCAGCTTTTACCAGCCGTCGCTGTTCCCTTACTACAACAACCTGTACAACTACCCGCAGTACTCCATGGCCTTGGCTGCGGACTCCTCTCCAGGGGACGCGGGAAGCCCCCTCGGGGGGTCCCCCGTGAAGAACAGCCTTCGAAGCCTCCCAGCGCCTTATGTGCCTGGTCAGACAGGAAACCAATGGCAGGTAAGAGGGCACCCAGAGAGTGAACTGGACATGTGAAAGCCACACACACACATACGCTCAACTCAGCACACGTGTGTATACCATTATACACACCATTATATCTCACTCTACCTATAACATCATTTACCCCTAGAGGTTGCCTGCAAGGAATTGTAAAGAACTGTGCATGTATTTGTTGGCATTTTCAAATTTTACTTTTCTCATTCTTCAGCGTCATTTTGCCCAAATACCCAGTCGGCCAGAGTCAGCGTCACCGGCGGCTTACTGTGTGAGGCTCCATCTCCTCCAGCCTTGCCTCCACTTTTTTGTGCAGCTTAGAAAATGTTGGGTGCAGCCTTCTGGATGGCAGTAATCCTAGTGATGCATTTGCACCCTGGAAGGGAGATGTGTTACGATCTGTGTGTTTGTGTGGAAGAAAAATAAGAAAAGGAATTAGGTCACTATCGTGCTGGGGCAACTTGAGTACATCTTTAGCTGGGAATGGAGGTCACTCATATGCTAAGTATGTGTTTTTAAAATAGTGTGCAATCAATAGCTTTTAATATTTGGGGTAATACAAAGCATTTTGCATTATCAGGGAACATTTTATTCAGCACTGTCTGCTTCCTCAGTTTTCACCACTTCTATCATGCAGTATATTAGCTGTAGAGTCAAGGCGTGGAAAGCATTCACAGGCTGGATTAGCACGTTGGGGGACTGTGCACGCGTGAGCGCGCGGGCTCGGCACCTCCAAGCCCGCTCCAGCTGTAAGATACGATTCTGCGAGAACTGCTCTCATTGTGGATGCGTTTTCCGCGCTCAGGCTTTCCCAGTGGAACTTTGATTCCAACACAATGCAATGTATGTATTTGGGAGTTTAGGCTAAATCTTTGATCTTCGTATGCCTACTTTTAAAAAAATGTGAGTGGACGTTTTCCTCTGAGCAGTTCGATTCTGTTTTGCATTTTCAGGTGTGGGAAAGTGGCTGATATTCACATCTGCCCATTTTTAGATTTTTGCACAAGCCTCTGCATATTAATGTCAGCTTTAATCCCCTGGGCTACTCATTTTCATAACTTTTCCATAGATTCTATTTTTAGAATCATACTTTTTAAAAAGAGCTTAAAGCATGTTGGTGTTAGAAGTGAGAGGTAATATGAATGTAAAGAATGTGCGATGATTTATGGATCTTCAGGCTGAACCCCTGCAGGCCTTTCAAAGTGCCAGCTGGATTTCATGATTTTGCGTAGATTTTAGGTTGATTTCTGTTAGAGACTCTCCTCTGAGAAAGGAGGAAGAAGTACCTTATAGTTCTTAAAAAACAGCTCATCCTGCAGGTTCCCAGGAGCCAGGGACTTCATGCTACTGGAGTGTCCTGGTTTTCTGGCTACTTTCAGGAGAAAATAGGGAAGGTCTGTGGACCTGTTGGCTTATAAGAAAAAGGATGAGAAGTGAAAGTCTTAAGTGTCTTCTGAAAGAAAGACAGCCATGATCGGCTTTATTATAGCAGCATCAGAAATCTCCTAAATTAATTAACCCTCCCTTGTCAAAATCTCTCAGACGGCATATGATGCCTGACACACGAATGTTTACTCTCACTCCACCTGGAAGACCTAGGGAGGACGTGGCAGAGGTCATGGATTTCCTCGGAGGTCTCTGGCCATGATCCACCCTCTAGGGGCCTGGAGACAGCCAGGAGGAGAGTCCTCTTGGGCAGCGGCATTGCCTGGTCTTGGAGGGCTGCCTCGTCTGCTGTGGGCAAGGAGAGATACCCCTGAGGGCAAGGTCCAGCACCCCTGCTAGCAAAGTGGGAGGGAAGACCGTGCCCGAATGTTCTTAGCCGTGCGGGGGGCCTGCAGCTTTGATGCTGCTCGTGCCTCCTCTAGAACCATCACTCAATTAGCCTGGAGAGCTGGGTCCCTGGTGAGAGGCCCAGCATCTCACCTGCCGAGGCATCAATTAACACTGGAATTTGTTTTCAAGGAGGCCTGGGCTCGAGCCTTTCTATTTCCTAGCCAGTCATCACTGGCAATACATGCTCATCTAACATTATTTTGCAGAAATAGAAATAGGTCCTTCCCTGCTACTGTGGTTGATGCCCATTCCTCTTGGTAATAACACGGATTCTGATGGTTGTCATTTGTTGAGCAGTGAGTCCTCCCCACAGCCCTGGGAGGCAGGTGGAATTGTCCCTTTTTCATAGGTGAGGACATTGAGACTCAGAGGCCTGCACCACCACACAGCCCCCAGACGGAGAGCTGGAGTTTGTATCTGTCTGGCTCCAAGGTGTGTTTCCCCGCTCAGTCTGGTTATCACTGGATCTGCAACAGACTCGGGGCTGCAGAGACGGCTGTTAATTAAGTATGAATACGGAGGCCCTCTTTAGCTCTCAGGGCTTGGAATTCCTACCTAAGTCCTTTGCTTTTCACTGGGGATCTTCTTGGACCCACCTCTCTTCTGATTTTCTGTCTTCATTTGTGGGGATTGGAAATAAGCAGAAACTTCCAGAACAGTGCTGAGGTGTGGGTACTTCAGGTGGCTGAACACAGAGCCCCAGACGCTTCCCTGAAATACAGTCTTGGCCTTTAGTGTTTAAAATGCGCTGAATCCCTTGCAGTTTGGAAGTTGCTTTTGGAATCTGCATACATATTTTCTTTGAATGTGGTTATCCTAAGCACATCTGGGCCCAGCTGCAGTGGGTTTGTGACACATAAGATGATCCTCACGGTGGAGATGAGAGGGCTTGACCATGTGGCCTCTCCATGCCTTCTAAGTCTGATGTTTTACGAGTCTGTGGATTAATCTTGTAAGCAAACATGAACACAAACTTGACTTACAGCCTTGTAGTCATGCCCACAGAAATCAGTTCTCTTGGAAATAAACTCTTATATTAAAAATACAAGAGCCAGCATCCACATAAGCCATCAGTTTGCAGAAGGATAGGTGAACGCCTGTCCAGTGCTGAGCAGAGCTGACGTGGGTCTCACATAGCTCCAGCACAGCCCATCCTGCTGCAGGACAACTGAGAGCCGGAGCCAGAGGGGTTTGCTCGGCACCCAGAGCTGGCTGGTGATAGAGCCTGGCCCAGAAACCAGGTCTATTTATTTGGGGAAAATAGTACGGTGCGCTTTGAGGAACATGGAGTCTGGTACTTGGAGATCTATATTCGGTCCTAATTTGTGATTTAACTGTTTGTGTCACCTTGAGCAAAGTACTTAACCCTCTGAATCTCAGTTGTTTTGTTTATAAAGTGGGCATAGAACCACCCTCATAGAATCACTGCAGGGATACACAAGACGACAGTGTAATGACTGAAGTGAGATGATTACTGCATGTGGAAGTGTCTGTGTAGACCAAGCAGCGCTATGCTGACATGAACTTCAGTAAATTCATTTCATTAATCATTATTTTCTCTTGGCCCTGCTTTTTTAAAAAAAATATATTTTTTGTTGATGTGTGTTTTAGTTAGCTATGTCAGATCCCCTCTGGGATAAGATAGGGTATGCATAATGCACATTTTAGTTGTCACTGGAAGGTCGTGACATGTGAATATGGGCCAAGTATGAATGTACATGGAATCAGTTTTATCTGAGATGGGGAAGAATTCGATCCATTTAGGAAGTAGAAAACTGGAAGCATAGACAAGAATTACAATGGTGCAAAATGTGTTTATTAAGAGGTATATAAGTAAATACTAACACCTACAGATAGTACTTACAACCAGTGTTGAAGGGGTAGAAACTGGACAGCTCGTGTTGTCACTGGGCCGTTAGAGCAGAGGTGCAGTGGACCGCCATCTGGGGCAGGGCCTCCCCCGGCCTTGCTGATCTGGGAGGGCGCCCTGGCTCTGCTCTTTGGCCGGTGCCTTGCCCCTCCTGGTGGAAGCCTCCCGGGAGGCCGGGGAGGGGCTCCCTCTTGGTTGGAACCATGCTTTCCTGTCTCCTTTGTGGAAAGTGGGCCACAGCTGCGCCTGGAGGGCACCGAGCTGGTCTCTCTGACTAGATCTTCCCCAGGTCCGGCCCTGGCTCCACCTGAAGGGCCTGAATCTTATCAGCATCTCCTCCATCTACTTTCTTGGCTCTGTCGCTAAGACCTGACTTCCCTGCTGACTCTTCACCAGAGTGAGAACTTTTATAAGTTATCCTCCTTCCCTTGCTGCTTTTGGGTATCAGTGTGTTTTGGGGGAACAGCGTGAAGTGTTTTCCAACAGAGAGCACCTTTCTGATTCCTAGAAAAAAATCGACGCTAGTGGAGATCATCATATATTTTTTTTTAAAGCCAGACTGTTTTAGAGGTTAGTGGGCAGAGTATTGAATTATTTACAAAAGAAACCATTGACTTTTTGTTGTAGTGCTGAGACTTTCTGTAAGTCTCCCTATAACGTCATGCAAGCCACAAGTAATTATTGAGCACCTACTAAGTGCAAAGCCTATTTTAAAAAAATAGCAGTCTACTGGGCCAGGATCCCAGAATCCCAAGGCGCTTTCGTGTCGATGCCCAGAACGCATGCCAAGAGCTGCTTTAATTGCTTTTGGTCTGTCTCCAGCCTCTGGAGATTTGTGGCCCAATCACAGATTCCTGTCCTGTTGTGAAACAGAAATAACATTTGTGACACTGGAACAAACTCACGATGAATGGCTGGTTCCACTGACCAGCAGCTCAATTTCACTTCTGCATTTAATTGCCTGCAAAAGCTGTTTATTGCCTGGTGCACTCCTCCACGGCAACATTACCTCTTAAATAAACATGTTGTACCAGGTTGACAAGGGAGAGGTGCATATCAAGTGAGGAGAAATAAATATGGGAGGACTCCGAGCTGTACCGGGATCTCCATTTAGTCCCAGTGGCAGGCGCCCCCTTGATTAGCTTTTCAGAAGCTTGTGCCGCTGGAGGTGGAGACCCACGTGCCGGCCACAGTTAGGGTGTGGTCAGAAGGCAGTGTGGGTGATTTCCTTCCTCCTGGTGGTTCTTTTGGGCTCCGTCTGAAGTGTCTCCAGATACGGTTGCCCATTTATGATTAT